CGATCGCCCCACCAATTCTCCGCCCGACGAATTTCCGCTTAGCGAATTGTCAAATGAGCCGGAAGCTACGGACCATCGAATAATTCGCCTCTCCCGCGTGCAATCCGTACACGATTTAAACGCATAAAAGGCTTAAGCCTCTTTCAGAACACTTCCGTCAATACAGGAATTTAACAGAGATAGGAATTTATAATCCCATAAGTTAAAACGTATTTAATCGACTAAATTGTTCATTATGTCTGAGTTGATTAAAGAATTCCGACTTAATTTGAGGAAATTTTATGGCAAACAAGTTTGTATACAATTCTATTACGTACCGAAACAAGTTGACAAAGATTTTTAAATCAAAATGTAAGCACATGTACATTTTTTGAGGCATGATTCTATTCAACGAAGTTATTGCCATTTACTTCCGCGATTTTTAATTTCGTTTTTAAAGAATAAAGTAATCGCCGCGCCGTTTTGACCTCAGCATCATCGTTGGTAATGATTTATTTCCTTCTTCGAATCCTCTAAATTTCTATAAAATAACCTAACGTCTGATCAACTTCACAACCGAAAGAAATTACCTTGGTACGGACTGTATCTGTTTGGATATTACAGCCAGTCGCGAAGTTAATCAGCATTTTCTGCGCGCGACCGGATAATTACATCACTCAGCCCGAAAGAGTTCCAGAACGAATTGCATCGCGCCGCTGGAAATTGTACACCGGTGGAATATTTTATTATTAATCTCGCGTGTACTCTAGTTATCTCGTCTATTGAATTAACGACAATTAAAAGCGTGCGGGTTCAAACTTTTCTCGTTCCTCCATTACGTAAGTTCCCGATGGAAACTTCACTTGCTCGTTTTTTTATTCATTGAACAATTAATTTTCTTCTGGTTCGAAATTTTATGCCAGGACAGATTTCGATAAGTTAGCGGAAAATTGTTATTCTTATATTAGCGGCGCGTGTCATCCCAGGGAATCGCAATTTTCAACAAAAGCAACTTTTAATTATTCAGCAATTTTCTTCGTTAACCGTTCCTCATTAGCGGATGGCTACTAAAGGGCGACCTCTCCCGGTACTGTCTCTTTCCCTCTCGTTAAAGATACATTCCATCGGGAACTTTCCAAAGTAATTTACTTTAATTTCGCCCAAGATCCTCATCGTTTCATTATTAAAATACTCGAATTTCCGGACCGGACGTTTAAGAAAATTCTTTCCAGAAATTTTTTCCATGAACTCAAAAATGGCAACGTTATTCATTAGGCACCGAATTAAAAACGCATTTCTCTCACAATTCCCCAAACGATTAAAGACACGTCATAACGGTGTACCCGGCTTTTAAAATACCATACGTTAACATGTGCTCCCAGTTGGTTAATTATTTCGTTAACGCGCTGGTTTCATCGAAAAATAAATTCGATTTTAGTAATAACCTTGTTATATGTTGCCCCAGCCATTTGGCCTCGAATTTCTTTCTCATTTTCCTGTTCCCTCTCGTACAAAAATTTCCAGACTGATTTTACCCAATTATCTTTTACTGTGTTAGCTTTGATTCAGTTTGTGGTAGGCGAATTACGATTAAGATGAACCCACGTAATAAATCACTCCAGCTCGCGTCCAATTCAATCCGTAATCCGCGAAGGAACCAAATTTCAGGTTGACAAATTTCACGAAACAAGTACCTCTTATTTTACGTCAAAGATACAAAAACTTTTTCCAATCAGTTCTTAAGCGAATTTCAATCTTGGACGAATTCGTGAATACATCGCATATGTATAAATGATATAATATATGTATAAATCAACTGATCATGCATCAGAAGAACAAACGCACCCTCCATTGAAACCCTGGAGAGGGGCGCAGGGGGTGAGTCCGTGCGTTTGGGTTCCCGTGTTCAATAGCATTTTCGCGGTTAAGGCATAGCGTAGCGCGTCGAGTTGTTTGCCGTGGCACAACAATTTCCCGGCTCCATTATTGCGCGTATAATCGCGATCGTTCCACGTGTAATCGCAATTGTTGCACGTATGACCGATCGTCAATTGGTTCGTTGCTAAGCGAAGCGTCAGGCCTTCGGGCGAACGCGAAGCAATTACGCAATAGCCGGGCGCGCGATTGTAAGACATAAGCTGATCAAATGGATGCGCACGCGTACTGCTCGTTGTTTAACCGAATAATTACGATGGATTTGACGGAATTCGATGCTACTCTCCTCTCTGTGCGCCGTATGCGCGCACCTGCCAAATCCTCTGATGTTCTTTGTGAAATTTTATGCACACGTTTCACATTTTCTTTCCTTACCTTTTGAGTAATTGATATTAATGCAAAAAAAAAGTGATCAACAATTCGTATTGACGAAAATTAAATGGAAAACTATATCAGGAGACAATTTACTAAAAAATATCAGTGTGTTCATATATTTCTTGTAACCATTGCAACGAACCAATTGGAGAATCACGTTTCTGAGTCAACGTAGATTATATTCATAGATTATATTTTTATAACTCGTGATACAGAGCCACCCCTCATTCCTGAGGTCCTTGGCAAAGCCCATCCAGGACGCGAGCTCGCATTTATAACGAAATTCTCGTCAGTTTACGATACGAGCCATCCCCGGAGTTCCCCGATTCGCCGATCGATCAACACGGTTCGTTGATTCTGACTCAGGTGCGCGCCTGTGGCTCGTCTTACCTGGCTGGGAAACTCGGCTATTTCCGCCGTAAAAATCGACTACTAGCTGTACACTAGCTCTTTATTTTCACCGAAACGACCAGTGGGTGGAACGAACGATAGAGAACAAAGGGGTAGCAGAGGTAGGAGGAGGAGACTCTTCTCCTCGGCTCGTCGCGAACGCGATCTCGTCAACGATTAAGAACCGCGCCGAGGCGAGGTTCTTTCGCGTCGAGTTAGTCGAAGGGAAAGAGGATCCTGGTGGGACAGATGCCCACCCTCTTTACTGCAACCTCTCTTTACTTTTACTGATGCCAATGGTTTTACCGGTGGTTCGTCGAACTTTTCTTTCATTACTGCCCGCCGTTCCGAAGTGGTAGGCGTTTTTATTTAGCTACTGGTTCAACTATATAGTTCTTCTTCTGCTAATTTAGTGCGACGCAATCAATTCTTTAAGATGATAATAACATTCCAATACGAGTAGGTTTTTATATATTAGGATGTTAAGAAGTCTCGATATTCAACCCCATTAAATTCTGTGTTTAAGGCAAGTAAATTGAGATTTACTCTTCAATTAAACATTCTGCAGGAAATTATAGGGAAAATTCGTCCAATACAAATCATGAAATCATTTAACATTCTATAGTGCGGATAATGAAATTAATACAAGTAAATTCAATTATTTGGTCAATACGGAATGTGTAGTACCAAGCCATATTTATCAATTGATATATTCAATACATGCATATATTCAACAGAGAATCATTGTTTAACATATATATTAATTACAATTTTATTAAAAGCATCCCCCCCATTTAAATACATTTTATCTTCGTTTTTAGTAAACAATTTTATAGCTATTCATCCAGAAAGGTTACGATCTTTTAATATGAATTAAAATGTCAAGTACGAATCTGGCATCATTACATTCTTTACCCAGTTCACTATAATGTAAATATGTATAGCAACGAGACAGAAGAGACATGGATCATTGGAACCGCGTTTGTACATCACACTTTTAATTATTTTTAGCTTGTGTTGAATCAATGTTGATTAATTATATATAACTCACTAAGTAGGTACTTTATCTCGATAAATAAGTGTAATGAAGTAATTAATGGGAACATTTTATAGCATAATAGAAAAGTGTCCTTTTTTTGTAGTTTCAAATTTTTATTTTATCTTTAAAAATTATTAAACGATTTCACCTAATATTGTACACACGATGGATTGATTTATAATTTATATACTAACAACCTGAATAAGCAGGTACTACCTTTTAAGAAAAAGTCGTGGCACATGAAACTGTCAATCGAGCATTCAGTTGCATTTCACTTCTTAAGTCGTACAGACATCTTGATTAAGTCCTATCGAATATGACTATGTATCTAAATTCATGCTTAAACTGTTACAATCATCGTCAAGCAAGCTGCTTACTGGCATTTCGAACAAATTTCATTCTCCCTGTATTCTTACATATAATCTTATTTCAACTGATCTATATTATAAACATTAGCAACTCATCTGTATTGTACATAGATACAGTTAGCACTGTATTTGTAGCTACCATTTTTGTACCAGTATTGTACATTTTCGTCATCGCACACTCGTGCTATTGCATTTACCAAGTCGGAAAGTTCTTCCCTCATTCAATCACACACAAAATCGTTAAGTAAAACAATCTAAGAAACAAATATGAAGAAAAATACACGTTCATTATTATAATACTATGAATGAAATTGTGAACCTGGTTCTCAGTCGCCTTACTAATAAATATATTCGTTAATTGACATCTAAAAAGGAGTACATATTTTTTATAATACATATGAAAAGCAGAACTTCAAAATACGAAGAAAATCGATTAGGCAGTCATTCATACGCGTCAATAATTAGCAAGAACCTATTAATATTAATTAATACTCAATAAAGTGACGGTTCTCCGAGAAGATACGTGTTCACCGTTATACGTTTACAATGGGAACTGAAATTTCGGAGAAATTCCTCCCATCGACGCCGAGGCGACAGGTCGATGAGAGTCGCGCTGGGCAATAAACTGGAACTCGTTTCCATTCCGCGGCGTTCATTTCCGCCTGACGAAGATATTTTCCAGGAGCTCCTTGGTGATGAGGCGATGGGGTCTGGTCGGGCTCTCAGTGGGCCTGCCGTAAAGTCGGCTGTTGATGGCGTACAGCTTAGGGCTTAGTTCGCATCTAACGTTGAACCACCAATCGCAGACGAACACCGCCTGGCTGAATTGCGTGCCGTTCGGGCAGAGAAAGGTCGCCTGACGGCCGTCTATGTCGCAGTAATGCCACGCTTGGCATCTCGTCTCGACGTCCGCGAAGAAACCCGGGTATGGCTGATCGTCGCAGTAGAAATTTGTGTAAGGCACCTTGCCCAATACCGGGTAGTCCGTGCCCGCGCGACCTGCAACGCCGTAAAACGATACATTCACTACCCAAGTGAAAGAGTTAACAGATTGACATGTTTTTATTTTGGATATGGGCCCTAACAATGACAAATTACTAATTGATTCATCATAATGAAATAATGAAACGATTAACAAGATTGAAAGATACTAAAAATCATAAACATGTTTCTATTATAACAATTTTTTCAAATATCTTTACATGGAACAGTCATAATTATGAAACGAGGAACGTATCTATTGATTCCTCAGGACGTATATTAAAATCCATATTTTGTACATTCAGGAAGGGCGATTATCCAGGAAGGCAATGGTAGTTGACGACGCGTTTCAGCCGGAAATCTCGTTAACCGATATAACAGGATACAGGACGATTTTGGGCACAATAACTGACGAGGAAGCACGGAGACGGAACGGAGGATCGTTCGTGGGGCGAGACAGCCTTAACCGATCCGCTTCTCGCATAATTTTCGCGAGCGGATCGAGCAAATCTCTCTCCTTCTCTATGCATTGGAGCTGTGTCGGATCAGTATCCTCTATTAATCGGTGGAAATGCTGCAAGGGCCGAGATGCACCGTACCGTGTTCGGGCCGGTTGACACCTGTATTACCTGCACAAAGCAGCCACGCTACTGGGTATCGACGCGACGCGATGTGTGCACGTCGACGGCTGGCAACCGTCGCTACCACCTCCCACCCTCTGTTCCTCGCCCTCGCCCTCTCGTCTCGTTGCTTAACGATGCGTGAACCACGCGGCATGTTCGACGAACTGTTTACAGCGCAGCGCGAGGGGGTAAAGGTCTGCCGCCGCCAGCTTAATCCGCGGGATTACCCCGGCTCTGTTTGACCGTCGCCAGAGATGATTCTGTTTGTCGAGATTTCGCACGGTTTAACCATGTTTCTTGAGCTTCATACGCGAGAACGTGGAAGGCAAAGCTCCTTACTTTGAACTCTGATCTAAAAATCGTGTCGATTTGATACTTGGAAACAATGAAACAATGATTAATTGTATTTCGAGTGATAACTACTCTTTCGGAACGTAATAGAATGAACTTGCTTGCTTGCTCTTTAGCTCGTGTAAAAGGCAATTGACTTTTTAGGTGGTTGTCTTGCAACAGAGTACCTCAACCAGTTTTTCTGAGATTTGTAGTAACTGATTATCAAGTAGCTTTTTTATAAACATATGTACAAGTACTTGTCTAATTACTACATTTTACATCCACTTAATGAAGTATTTATAGCTCTAAACGCGGAATTCTTTAAAATTGTCGTACATTTCTTAATACTCTCAATCTGGCATTGTTTTAGATATGTATTCTTATAATGTATCTGTTGTATATTTTTGATAATTCTGAAGATTTTGAAATCAATCTAGAGTCATAGAATGAAAACTTAATATTTGTTGTTGTTCATTATTTTATCGAAATTGAGTATGGCAATTGCTAGTAACAAATGGATTTTCGCGTGTTTATCTCACGTCACTACTAAAAGTGGAACTCGTTAAAAGAACAGACGTAAACGGAAACGGCAAATCGAATGAGTTGAAGATACGGAAGTTCAAATTAACAATCAGAAAGGAGAGCGTCCATTCCGCCAGCTAAGGTGAAGTAGACGCGGATAATTACATGTCTCTCGAGCTTTCAAAGGGTTAATCAAACCGGATGCTCGGAATCGGCACGGATTTACGACGAGCCGCGGCCCCGACCGTGAATACGAGCGTAAAGAGCGCGCTTTAACCAAGCCAGAAAACTTTGTTCCCCGCATAAAAAGTGCGCGCGGCCTCCCTGTTTCCGCGGGTCGTCGTCGCTTCGGTTGCGTGCGAGATTTCATTTTGAACCGATCGTGCCATGAAATTAAAGCTCCTCGTCCGAGCAGGTCCGCCTCTTTCTCGTTGCATTTTTAGAGAACAAGTTTCTTTTATCGCCTATTTACCGCTCAAATCTTCTGATTTTTCATTATTTTTATTTATTTTTATTAGTTCTTCAAAAAACTATTTGTTCCGACAAAATACTTATTGACTGATTCAGAGAAACTGACGTTTATCTTATTTTCCAAAAGAAATTGTCTTTATAATCGCAATTTTCATTTGCTTACAGTGTCTAGTTTATTTTATAGAAATGCGGCGTATGACAATGGAGCCAGTTTGAACACTTGTTTAAAGTTCGAATTAAATTTCTTTTTAAACTCCCAAGATGAATTTAAAGGACTCGTACGTTGGGGTAAGACCTATAACCTGACAGTGTCTTTAGAGCGGGAACTTTAAGAAAGTAAGACCAGACTCTACTTCCTGAAGTTTGAATACCTATGTTCATTAACCTTATAAATTTACTGCTATTATTATTACGCATACTACGAACTTTAAAACATTAACGTTAGATATTATTATACCACTTAAAAGCAACGCAAAATTGCTATGCCTTTTGGAAACTTGGCAGTTGCTTAAAAAGACTTTGCTTACTTTATTTTGTTAAACACTAGTGTCCGTTTATAAAGGAAATTAATAGTATTTGAAGGAAAGGAAAGACAAGTCTGTAAAGTCCGTTACTGATCAAGTAAAGTCATTTCATTTAATCTTATAACAATAATGCAATAGCGATAATGGAATTAACGTAAAAGAATGACGAGGACAAGTTTAGTCTCGATAACGATTGGGGAAAAGCATCTTTCTCTGGATCAAATCTTAGTTTAATAAACCGTGCGGCTGTTCTCCTAATAATGGTTTGATCTTTCTAAAATAATGAAAACTTTCATGACTTGGAGCAATGTTTGAAAAAATTTCAACGTTAGAACATTGTTAGCCACGTCAGACGTTGCATACGTTTTATCTGATACATCGTAACTAGTCGTCTTATACGCAGAACCATTATAATTTGCTGGGAGACGATTTGGAAGAGGAGGGGCTGCATCGTCAACGAGATGGAAGTAGAGCCTCAAAGTCTCGTCTTGTCACAACATCTGGTTCCGGGATACGATTGACGTACTATTATGCGCGTTTCGAATCGATGAAATCCCTTGCATTATTCGTTAATGGATGCCTGCGGTAACGAGAAACATTATTGGCAGCCGCATTACACTATCACGAGCAAAAATATGATCCCAGTGGAAGCGGAACGAGCACGCATAGTCTTCTTTTCTCCCTCCGCGTGTTCCATGGAAAGAAGAACCCAACGAAAGAAGCAAACGTGGGGCAAAAAAAGGAGAAAAGACAAATGGGGAAAACGTAAAAGGAGGAGGAGAAGAAGAGACTCACGTATATTTCCATGCGAGTTTACAATTGTCCAGAACGATCGCGACGTCCAAAGGGGCAAAAGGTGTCTATTATCAACGGAGAACTCTTCTCTCGTTAGGAGGAATTTGTTCGATGAGGAGAGAACGAACGGTGGACAAAGGGAGAACGGAGAAAAAGGGAGAGGGAGCGGAAAACGCGCGCGCTTTGATTCGCGTGCACCACGAGTTTTGCTTATTTATTCCGGCCCAGCAATTCGAGACTGAAGATTCTTAGAGCAATTTCCTTCTTTATGCGGGTCACTCGTTGTGTTCCTGAGATATTTGCCGATGCTCTCTCCAACTGGCTGACCCGGCCAACCCTCTCGCCCGTCCTAACTACTATCGTCGTGCTTCTCGCGTTCTTCCCGCTCGACGGAACGACGTCTTTACAAATTCGCGGCGCATTCTTCGGATTTTAATTATCATCTCATTGTGCAGAATTTTCCTAGAAACATGTGGTTCCTCTTAAATTCATGGCTGTTATACCTGTTTGCCATTGTCTTAGTGCCCGGTTTGAGAAGCTGTTAGAATATATTGCATTCCTCATTAATAGAGGAATGGCTATGTTTACGAAATATTTTACCAGTTCTTTGTACTCGCTTATACTATGCTATCGAAACAATATACGTTGCAAGTAGTACATGTCACCGACTAATCAGACAATTCAAACGACGTTCGTTATACCTATAAATTATTATAGAATTTGAAACAGAGAAGAGAACGAAGAGAAACTGTAAAATACGTGTATTGCAGAATCCATTTAAAAGAAATATTATTACGGTGTTATAAAAGGAACATGAGGCTACGATACGATCGGGAAACGGGAAACAGAATACCGATGGGGATGTTCCGCGATAGCAAAGCTTCTTAGCGAATTATAACCAACCATGCAAGCTTTTCTGCTCTCTCTGTTGTCCGTCCAAACAACTTTGTATCACCACCTGACCCTAACCTGTACCATTCCCTCTTCTCCGTTTCATCCCCATTCCATCTTTCTGTCTCCCCGTCTCTGTTTCTGCCTCCATAGCTATCCGAATCTCATTCGAACGAGCAGCATAGTTTCAGGTGGCACATCTCGGCGATCTCTCGCCCGGCCAGGAGGAATACGTTCGTTGTTGCCGCGCATAAGAGACGCAGTGTCGGCGGAGAACGCGATCTGGCTGACGTTAACCGAACGGAGAGACGGATGATGGAACAGAGAGAGAGAGCGAGAGAGATGAATAGATGGCCTATAGAGAGACAGTACGTGTGCACTCTCCGACGTGGTCTCGCAAACTCGTTCGCGTCGCGGTGACATCCATACGAAATTCGCACCTTCCGCCCGGTTGTCCGACCTGTTTTGTCAAACCGGAAGAGATTCCGTGTAGCCGCACGGAATAAACGTCCCATACCCCTCTGGCCGCTACCCCTTTCTGATCCTCCCTTTTTAATCGCTGCCACATTTGTCGGCCTCTCTTTCGCACGCGCTCTCCCGGGTTCGCCACCCGGACCACCGTCTCTCTGTCTTACCTCGACTGTCTCTCCCGTTGTAGTATTCGTCGACGCCAGAGCACGCTCTCTCGTCCAGGTAATTATAACTTCGTCGGATTTCCACCGCGAAGCGTATTCTCGCGCCTTCCTTCTCCTCGCCCAGCTTTTCATCCCTTTCGCCGTGCCGCGACGCGAGTCGACGATCATCGCTCTAATTATTTCGTTCCTTCGAATGGCGAATTCGCAAATATTGTCGCGTTCGACATGCTGTGTTGAACGAAGTTCCTCGGGCGACGCGACGCGACGTCACTTTTTTTGGGGGGTAATACCAGGACAACAGTGATAATATAGTTTTAAACGTGCTACTAAAATCAAAATTGGATAGTGGAAATGCTCATTAAGAAAGTTTAACAATTTATTAAATCTAATAGACAATGCAAGCGCCTTTTGGTTTCTAACGAAGTGGATTAAAAAGGGAACTCCGGAATTGTTTTTTAAAATTGTGACTATACATTAATGGCACTATTATTTGTCGATGGTTAAAATTATAGGAAGCCTAGAGTTATGATAAGCGAGATATTCATCCTCAAAGTTTCATATAAACTATTAGTTACAGAAAGCTTTTAAATACATTTTCTGTGGAAGGTAAAGAATGTATAAGAACTATGTAGTATTTGTTTACTTATGCAGATACTTTGCTGGAAGATGAAATTCTTTCAAGTCATGACGTAAGGGTAGTCGCGTGATCCAAAATAATGAAAAGTCGATGCGTGCGATCAAAACGAACAGTGATCATCGTAACTGGCTCTATTCCGTTGCCAAGAAGCGGCTTTGGTTCATCATCAAAACAGCAGTCGCGTCGATACAAAATTGCCAAAGTCATCGTGACACGGAGAGAAGAGGCAGCTCTATTCCTTTAAAAATTGCTACGCTCTGGCCACAAAGGATACGCCATTTGCTATCGGGCCAACATCTTCAGCGTAGCTCCTCCATTTGAATAGCAAAATCGTATTTGTTCCATCGCATAATGGAGCTGAATTTACTTTCTAACGTAAAAAAGCATGATGCACTTGGAGCACCAGGGGCCACTTAAAATGCATCAAAATATTTTATTCGAAAACGCTTACTGTCGAATATATTTACATTCTCTGTAAGATTCGCGTTAGTAATGGTCAGTACGAAGCATCTCGAATATTGAAAGAGAGATTAAGATATAATTCTAGCCTAGTTTCAATGTTAGATTACGGACAGAGTCGTCGTTTGCTCTATCATATGTCATTGCTTGAGATCCTGAGATAACTGCGGCGGTATTATCTGTTTAATCATTTGCTGATCGATGGGATCAGTAACAATGTCTGTTCAATTATCCATCGGTCAATAGGGATAGTAATATTGGTTTACGTTGTTAGTTCTCAGTTAAGTGCCGAGTGGTTCCGTTTACCTTCGCTCTTCCTCCAAACAAATTTTTAATAATAAATGTGTAAGTAACGGAAACAAACAAAACAAATCCAATAGCTTTAGTAAAAATAAAAGAAGAATTTTCTAATACACATCTGAACAGTTTTGTATATCAAGGAGTGCTAGAATTCGTAAAAATGGTTTATAACATTTTTCATTTATCGTATCAGTTCAAACACGTTCCTTCTAAACGGACGTTTAAATTAAAAATTACAAATTCACGACGATTCAACAACGAATCGATTCCACGAGACTTCCTCGCAGACCCTTTCTGGAATCTCGCCAGGACGTTTCATTCTCGTCCGAAAAGAGGAAGAATAAGAAGGAAGGGAAGACGAGCAAGGAAAAAGGGACTATGACTCTCCTCCGGGCGAAACGTTTTCGCGTAAAAGGGAAGAAGGGCTGAGGAAATAGCTTAAGAAATAAGGGTGGGTAGAAAACCGGTGCCGATCCGCTATCGTTTACACTTCGCGGGGGTTGGAAGTGGAGCCAGCCGTCGTACTGCTTGGCAAATGAAGGACGAACGCCCGGGAAATGCATCAGCCGTAGCGGACTGTCTGTTCTTTCCCCTCTTTCTCTCTTTTATGTCCTCCCGTGGCAGCCATCGTCATAAAGTCAGTCAGCCGAACGGGACGAGGTTTGTCGCTACCCCACCCCCTACTCCCATACCTCGTATCATTTCGCCTCTTTTTCCCCACCCCTGTCCCTCCCCTATCGTTCTACCGATCCTCCCCCACGACACCCATTTCGACTCTCTTCGTTCTTCCACCCTGTACGCGCGTGCTCGTTTCTCCTCCTCGTACGTTCTGAAACGCACGAGACCTACGCTTAGAGGTTCGACCGAGAAGGGAAACGGAAGGAGAATCGCAATCGGACGGCGCGGGAAGAACGGTGCAGGGAGACAGAGAACGGTACGGTATGGCGTGGCATTTCGTCTTCGTTCCGCGCCCTGTCTCTCCGTTCGGCCGCGATCCTTCAACCCCGGCATGCTCCTGCAGGATCTACCGCCTTTCGTGGTGCAGAGGTCGCGTCCCGGGCTCGGCTATTTCATTATCCTATCCGAGAGTGCGACCGGGTGGGGCTAAGTGAGAGACGAACGAACGTGGGGATAGGTCGTGCGTCGGCGGGCACTCTTCGAGACATTGAGACGAACGTTAAGTCAATGAGATAAGTTCACGTTATGTGCCATATTGATTCTATTCGGATTCTGTTTTTATATGCACGTTCCTGGCTCCACTTCCGATACTTATCTTTACAGATTCCTAAAATTTTCCTTTCATCGCTGATGTCTCTTCAAACTGAGAGATACCACAAAGTTTGCAAAATCACATTTGTAAAAACGTGCTCGAAAAATAATCTGAACAACTTGGATCTTTCATTACTACGTGTCGCATAGGTTTCATTTGAAATTACATATTTTTATAATGTATACAATTATTTGATTTATAAATTGGAGTCAGTCTGATGAAACCTTTAATCATAAGTAATTCGTACGAGTAGATATTCTGAACTAATTGTTACGTTTAAGCTACTTAGAGGTTTAACAGAACAGTGCTCGCAGTGGGATTAGAATTGATATAATCGTCTAGAATCTAAGACAAACGAATCAACCCGTGTATATGATAATCATACTTATCAGATTAGCCATCATACCAAGGTGTATTATAAGAGACGATAAAATAAGGTGATATTTTATATTTTCAAACATCCAATAAATGTCAAGCATTTACATTTAAAATTAGCAATGGACAACTAAGATATATTTATATTTTATTTTTTATTATAAAAAATTTTTTACAATTTGATTTTGCATAAAATTGTTATATACTACTAAAAAAGACGTACCTTCTATTACATCATAATTTATTAAAAATAAAATATATAGGTTACTTTGATTACAGAATTAAGATCCACATTATTCAAAGTTCGACTAAATCTGAATAAAACGAGGGAGCACAGGCGGTATGATTCCATCCACGATATATTGGTAATTACATAAATCGTATAAAAATCTTGGACGATTAAATTTCCACAATCTATTGTATAACCGTTGGATAAAATATGTATCTCGAAATGGAAAAGTTCGCGTTCAACTGGAATCCCATCAAGCCGCGGATCACAATAGCGACATACATGCATGGCCATAAAATAAAAACCGGATTAGACCCGGACACGCCGTTAGAATCAGTTTTCTTCGGCATAGGAATTACGATATCCCGATACGCGATAGCATCCGCCGCGTGACAATGGCCGTTACGTGTTCCGGTTTTGCGACGGAAACAACCGCTATTGCACCCCGGAAAACCATAAGCGATAATCGACGTTAACATTTAAGCGCGTCCTGAAATGCGAATCTGATCGAATCAAGAAATACGTAATTGTCCCCGCATCAAATGATACATTATAAAAATGAAATTTTATTTTTCGTTCTACATAGAATTTGCAAATTTCTTATAAGAGAAGCGTCGTATTCCATTGGTTTTAGTTTATTATAATCATTGTATTTAATAGTTCACAGATTTTTTCTGTACTATAGAAATTTATCTTAACTTGCACGTTCCACGTCCGAACGATCATGCAAAATGTACTACTCACGGCGAACGAGTAAACCCCATTCCCGTGCCGCTATCTTCGTGGGCAGACTTTAAACGGAGGCGGTATCAGCCACGCGCCAGAAGAAGGCCTCGTCTCTTCCGCTGAATAACGTTTAATTTACCGCGTAAATTTTCTAATAATCGGCCGTTACACGCGCGTGTTCACATAAATCCTCACCGGCGCCAGGAACATTCCTTCGTTCCGTTCGCTGCAAAATAATAGCGCGCGGCGCGTTGAGGGTTGAGAAAAAGTCTGGACGCGACCCTTCGTGGTGGCAGACTACGTAATGGAAATTTTCCACCGGTCTGTGCCGGCTGGTGAATATTTTACGATCGATCAATCATCGGGGAAGGGCTTGTACGTGTGTGCACAAAGGGCAGCGATAAAAGTCGAAGGGGATCCCCTCGTTAGGTCAGTGAAAAACCTTCAAAGAAAGTTGAAACCTACTCACTCGGATTTCACGCGTTCACTGTTAATAAACGTAGATCGATTAAGTGGCTTCTTGTTCTTCCTTGCTCTTGGTTAAAAATTTTCTAAGAAAATTATACCTGATAACGAGAGAGACAGAGAGAGAGAGAGAAAGAGAGAGAGAGAAGTAATCGAATGAAACAGGCTGATAAACCGCCCTTAAACGCGATCTTGAGACACGATCTCTGAATAAAAATGGTTGCCAGTTGGATAGGAACGAAACAATAGCGACGGCGCATACCTCGACGAGCAATAACTGTCTTCGTATTTATTTCTTGCCTTTCGTTCCACGTTTCTGCAATCGCATAAAACGGCCGCTTAAATCCGCAGAAACTTGTCGAAAGATATCCTGCAAGCTCTAGTACCTCCTCTCGTACCCAGAAAATAAGGGACCGGAAGAAACGAATTTAAATACGACGTTCCTCGTGAACGACCAATTTCCCCCGCAATTGGTCGCGATATTTTCGTTTCATACTTTTTCTTCCACCGTCGTACCGTTAGATATTAGATTCCGGGAAAAGGAAATCCGCTTACGGGGAGCTGGATCACTTAGTATTTCGTTGCACGAATTGAGAAGAGTTGACACGAGAAGTGAAACCAAAGGAAATGGATTATATACACACTTTCAAACAACTATCGATTAGCCAGAATACTTTGAAAAACACTAATCCGTCTTTGGATGATCGTCGCGAGAGCTTTTCCCGGATACTCGCCTTCCTACTTCGATTTCAAAAGAACTTTCTTCCTAGAAAAGAAGTTGAAGGACGCGAAGACGAATAAGACGTACAAAGCTCGAGGAACAAAAGGGAAATAGAGAACGGAGGATGGAGTGGAAGAGAAGATTCGTGGATACGTGAAAAAGAAAAAAGTCGGCTGGGGTGAGAGCAACAGCTTTGGTGAACGGAGTTTCTCGAGATGATCTTGTTTACGTACCTGGTATCGATTTGCCGAGATCGAGATACTCCCGCACGGATGGGCTCAGGAATCCAGGAGGCACAACCGGCGCCTCGTTTGTCGGATTGTTTCTTTCATCCACGTCTTCGTAGTAGTAGTCCTCGTTGTCGCGACCGTCATCCGCATCCGGGTCCACCGGCCTCGCCCTCTTCGACACTTTACTCCCGCCGGTGTCCCGTACACTTTCTGAAACGTGAATCCTGTCGTTTATAACTTCTGTTCAGCGATCCTTTAAGATTAAAGATTATTTTGTCGAGTTCTCATTAGATTTAGATAATAGGACTTATACGTGATCTTTACGATAAATAAAAAAAATTATCTACCTATTTTATCTTAAGCTGTTGGTTAGTACATCAATATAGAATTTGAATAAGAAGACAGAGCACTATCCTATGTTACTTAAAGTAAAGTAACAAGTTTTTCCAAATTGTATTCCAATTTCCTGGTAAAGTGGTTCACGTCCGTTCTTCACTGTGTTAACGATATTTAATCACCTTTCCTCCGGTAAGAAAAATCAAAAAACCCTCTTCTCATCAGAGTTAAGAAAAACCGAACGAAAGAAACTGAACCACCTTTCCCGGAAACTTTGGATCGAAACCATACAACCGAGCCGGAAGCGGCAGCGTTCCTGACCTCTCGGTGTTACCGTTGCTTAAGCCGCAGGCCCTCCGGACTTGACCTAGTCACTGACGAACCGAGAACAGGAGAGGGTGGGACAGGAAAGTTGGCGTCCGATTTAGGGGGAGAATAAAGTTTTCCCTTGGACAGAGGTGGTGGTGGACGAAAACGAACGTATGGGAGAGGGAGAGAGAGAGAGAGAGAGAAAGAGAGAGAAACGCATCAGAAGGTTGAGACAGAAAAGGTAACGGGTTGGGGGTTAAAGTTTTGCGGGCACGTCGTCGCGATTACGCGAAAGCCGCGGCAGGTTTGCACGTAGCTGCTGCGTTATTCACGACAGATTCGTGCACACGCGAACGATTTCACGGGGCCGGGCCACTTTATCGAGAGAGAACGCTTCGGAACGGCACGGGCTCGGGTTCGCAAAGTCTGCAGCTAATTAATTTCAGCTTTGTATACCATTGTCGTTAAACATTTCCTCTGTCGGACAGACCGGTGATTGCGCTCGTTCTCCATCATCGCCCTCTCTACTCCGTTCCCACCCCCGTATATAAAATATTCAAAATTCCGAAATCGTTAGGGTTACCGTATACATTGCGCGCGCAAGTCTGTAATCGATTCATCTCGCGGTTCCGATAATACTGACGGAGCTGAGTTAATAATCGGAGGAAAATTAACTGGAAAAAGTAGCTCAATCAAACCTTTGCTAGATACTTATTTAAGTTAATATAATAGTTCTAAATAGGGTTGCAGGCTGTGACAAGAATTCTCTATTATTTGTCTATTGAGAAATGTATGAAAAAACTATACACGGAATTTGTAATAGAAAGAGACGCCCGCCACCGAACTTCGCTTCGTTTGAAAATAGGTTTCGCGATACTTCAATACAATTATAAGGTACCGTTGCCAAGTTAACATGATCAGCTTACTAGAGAGACGAGAAACGTGCGTACATAGACGAGCAGAAAATTTGCAAAATATTCGAAATTCCAGTGACAGCTGGCCGAACGTGCACGCGTCTAGAGTGGCTCAGGATGGCAGCCGCGGAATTCTCGCTATCCTATAGTGTATATTGTTTGCGCACATTGTCGTGTACGTGTTACTTCCCGAGGAAGGTGGATACGATCCCCGTGTTCATCCCATTTGATGCCGGTGCGTCCGTGACGCGGAAGCTAATTAACGGCTCATCGACCGGCCTGAACTTTATGCGCGTCTAAATACAACGGATTAATTCGTCTGTATGGACATCGCATCGGTACGGAAACTATATGCGAGATTTTCACCCAGTTCTCATTGCGCTGTATTTTTTCTTTGAAACTCCGATAAAATAATTAAATGACAATGCTTCGATAAATGCCCATCGCGTATCGTCAGATGTCTAAATGCTTCATACAAGCTGAAAATGTTACGAGTTTGAGCATAGTGAAAGTTTTATAAGGCTGGCAGCGGAATAAGGAGAAACAGTCAGTGTATGATCAGGCATAGCGTCCTTAGTTAGGTACTTATATGTAGAATTCTACGATATATCTTTGAAAAATGTGTCAGGTAATAGAAGAGATTCAATTTAAGATATATTTTACTACGACATATCCTAATTTCTGTACGTGTTCGTATGACCATGTAGCATTATTGCTACTTCTAACGCATCTTAACAGATTGGCTTCTTTGGGTGCAATCGACACTTAGAAAATGCCGCGGTGCGGGGATAAAAATTCGCCGAGCCGCGTGTTTCGATTATTTTTTCAAATCGTTTTTTTTCCCCTCCGGTTACTTCACCGGAACGGAGCGGCGCTTTTTACGCGTGCATCGGCTCGGCGCGGCGTGCTCTGCTCGGCCGATTGGTCAACGGGGATGCGTTTTCTCTATCAGGGACCGTGGTCGGGGCAATAACGTCGCGCTTCGCCGGCCAAATTTCATAAAACACGCGCGAGTAAGTAGGGACGCGAAATCAAATAATACTCGGTGTATTAAATGCCACGAACAAACAGGTGTAATTATTCGGCAGCCGAGCGAATACCAAATAATTATCAATGTTTCGCTGCATTCACCGCTGCGCGAAAGTATGCATCGAACTAGCTCGCCCGGAACTAAATTAACGTGGTTGCGTGTAACAACAAACGAATTCCGCGGGATCGACCGCAACGGCGAATCGCCCGAGGACATCGGCCGGTGAAATTAAAAAAAAGAGAGAACCAAAGATAAAATAAAAACATACAACAGCGGCAGAAGGGGGGACAGAGGAAAAAAATATTATCTTCCATTTGTGCGGATCGTTTCGCGCTCAAGGCTAGGAAACGTTTTAACGGTGTTATCGATCGTCGAAGGGGGATCGGTTGATGGTTAATTAACAATCGACGATTTACGAATTCGTTGATTATTTTCCACGCTGCCCTAATTATCATGATATTCGATTCGTACCCGGGAAACGAAAACGCGTTAAAAATTGGACAAATTTGCGAGTCTTCACGTTATACATCCACCCGGTAGCAGCCACTCAATTTCGGAACGGGTAATTAAATGGTCGTTAATTAACAAAGAAACGCGCGACCGTTTCCCGGCTTACTTTGGGAACGCGCACCCGAGAGTAGCGTAGAGTGGAATGGAATGGGACGGGATAGGATGGTAGCGTAGCGTGGCGTGGCGCACAGTAGCAACGCGACGAAATGAAATGTTTTCGCTGGCCTATCAATTGTCGACCGAGCGTTGAGCAAACACGGATGAAAAAGGATATAATCGAGTTGAAGTTGAAACGTTACTCGGAGTTGTTGCTGTCTCTCTCTCTATCAGAGCTTCGCAAAATTTCTTTCGTGAACAGTTCTGACTTGATGCTTCAAATTCGAAAGAAATTCGTCTGGATTTTTTAAGGTCGTACGGTTCCTAAACTTGATTAATATTCAAAATATATTTCATTCGCTTTTTTGAGAATTTTGTATCCATTTTTACGGAAGAATGCACAGCGTATTCAGTATAGATGTTGTGATATTGAATGCAGAACATTTAATAAGGATAATTTTTAAAACGTCTTATTCTATTTGTGTTTGGAAGCTGGCATTTCGATAATATTGAGGTATCTTCTTTTATTGTCCGATTCGAATATCTATTTTAGACTGAACTATTTTTTTCACGATTAACTTAACTTGGTTGTGTCTCACAAATTTTTAATTGTTTACTGGTTGGGAGTTTACTTTCATTTCCTATTTCACTATGAATAATTTCTAATAATTTATGTTACGTATTTTTACAATCTACTTTAAATAGTATTGAAATCAGGATAAGCGTGACAAAATTTTT